ACACCCCCCATACCCTCCTTACTGCTCCCATCCAGCGCTAGCCTAAGGGTCACCTTAGTAAAGCGCATCCCAGGCTGCATAGCCGCACCACCCTACCCAACCATAAACATGACACCACCCCCGGGGTTTACACAGATGAGCCGGCGAAGCAAGAAGAGCGCCAGGACAAAAGAAGGTCCCACAAAGCGCCTACACCGGCCGCATTTGCGGTCGGGGACTCCCACAAAGCGCCTATACCGGCCGCATTTGCGGTCGGGGTAGACGACGGATGGGGGCCACCTACGAAGGCTGTCCAGGCCTACACGAGATGAGGTAGGATAAAGAGGGATAATCCCCCTCGATGCCAAATCATTGAGGCCAATTTCTAGCCATGGAATAATGGCGCGGCGCGATTGGTGATTTTGGGTAAGATGTCAATCTAGGGACTTTAGTAAGCACCATTCTTCGTAGTATGTTTTGTGTTGTCAAGTATGTTTTGTGAGTTTTATATTATGCATATCTGTATTCTGTATTATGTTTTGTGACATGATTATGCCATTATGCAAATGTGTAATGACAGATGGGCAAATAAAGTAAACAAATATAAGAAATTTCCAGTGCTAGAATTTATTCGTCCACTTCAATGGCTTAAATAATGAAGAATCTGAAAAGTGTATCTGTGCAAGTTATCGACAGCGATATAGCAGTGCTGTTACCTAATGGTGTTTATGAAATTAAACAAATGGAGACAAAATCTTCCAGATTAAAACAGATATGCCTTTTTTGCCTTGCCTTATGTGTATTTGGAATTTTTGGTTTTGGATACTTCTGCCCTGATAAGGTTTAGCTTTTTTATTTGTCTCTGAGAAAAGTATATGATATATTTGTTTCAGGTGTGTGCCCTCAGTTCCAAAGAAACAAGCATTTTGTTAGAAGATTTTGGTAAACCTTTAGCTCATGGAAGTAGTAAAGTAGGCTTAAGTTATGACGATATGTTAAATGATGATTTTTCTTTTGATATGGATTCTCATGATGTTATGGTTTTTTTGCACATGCAAAAAACTGGTAAGTTATGAGGAAAAGATTAGTATCAGTAAGAATAACATATAGGTTTTGAATCAGGTTGATCTTTCATTTATTGAATTTGTTAGATTTAGATAATTTGTGTTTAAAGTATTCAAAAATTATTCTCTACAAAAAAGTTATTGTACTGTTTGCTTAGTTAGTTTTCCCTTTCTTTTTATGGATCATATACGTTTGGTATAGTTACTATTTTCTTTTTATTATGAATGTCCAAGTCCTACTTCTACATTTAATTCAACATTTAATATCCTTGTGGAAATTATGAAAATATATATTTTTTAATTGATTGTTACTTTGATGTTTGACTTCCAGGAAAATTATCTTGTATTTGTTCTAGAGATGCCATTTTGATAAAATTACACCCTAAACATATAATTCAGAGATATGGCATATGGCAATTATGTGTCTGAGAGTCTGAGAGGTGGATGACAGTTCAACAATGCATTATTCTGATTTCCTTATTTAAAATTCAAGACGGTTTTCTTGAATTGTGAATTAATTTATTCAGATTGAATATATTTTATTGTAGTCACATAATTGTGGAACTGTATGCACTGAACATTTTTTGTCATAATAATTATGCTTTTAGCTTATGGTTTAATTTTTTTGATAAGGGAATATGTGTTTGTTTACTTTAATAGTAAGATTTATATTATCCATTTTTAATACAGTTTATTTTAATTTTTTTAATACATTGCTAATGAATATGTCATATTATAACGTAAATAGTGGTTTGGTCTTTTTGAATAGTTTAATATTTATAATTATATTGCAAAAACAACTGGAACATATTATGGAGATAAAAATTATTTACAATTGTCATAGTTCAAGGATATCCTATTATAAACAAACAATAGATAACGAAAACAAAGGAACTGATTTCTGTCAGAAAATTTAAATTGAAAATTTATCTATTGAATACTAAAACAAGAACATTTTATTTAGATTTATTTTTATTAGTTTTAGGTAGACAAAATGATAAAAAAAATAAATCTGTTTATTCACATTGTAATAAAATTATTATGGAGAATTGCTTATCGATGTTCATTTATAATTTTACAATATCCTGTATATTTCAGGAGGTACATCTTTTGGTAAACATCTTGTTCATGACTTGGATTTAAAAAGACCATGCAAGTGTCCCAGAAAACGTAAAAGATGTTACTGTTTTCGACCTCATTCGAACCAGAGTTGGTTATTTAGCCGATACACAACTGGATGGAAGTGTGGCCTTCATGCAGACTGGACCGAATTAACTAGTTGTGTGGACGAAAAACTAGATGACTTGGAAGATGTTGTTAAAAGACGTTACTTCTACATCACATTACTTCGAGAGCCAGTGTCGAGGTAATTCTAGTTTTTAAATAAATGTCAGTAGCATTATTGCAAAACACAACAAATCCACATTTCAAATTCAAATACACAAGATTGGACACAATATTTAATTTTCAGCAAAAGTGGACAGATTAACACAATAAATCCTTCATGGCAAATAGATCACTCTTATAGGCCGACAAAATTAAATGAATGTTTTCGATTATATAGACAATTCACAATGCAGCAGATAGTGAAAATTAAAGTCATCATTTTTTAATAAAGAATTGCGAAGCCCATACTGTTTTGTAAGGGATGATTTTTGGACCTACATGGACAATATTCATGACGAAAAATTTATTAAATTGGAATAAGTGTAGCAGAAAATATTTGTTTTCATTATCAACTGACATTCAAAAGGGTGTTTTCCTGCTTTTCACAAAATTTTAATTTTTCTTAAAATTATAGCATTATGAAGTTTAAAAATTGGAATGTTAGAATCAAATTAAAATTTATATGAGTATAAATAACTACAAATCTGTTTTTATGTGAAAATTAAAAAAGTGCCATTTTTCAACATTATGTTCATTAAATAAAATTGTCAAAAACCATGCATGTTTGAGCAAAACTGAACAAAAACTACAACTTCTGTTCTGCTTTAAAACGATACACATCAGTTTTTGGTATCTCAGCAGCCAAATCGGCAAAATTACAGTGGTGACACACAGTGGCTCTATACTTGGCAACTGATAGTCAATTTTCTCTTGTAAATTACTAATGTGTTATTATAATGCTGACGTGGGAATGAATATTGAAGAAAGAAAAAAGTAATATTGTCGTTGCTATATTTATCTAATTTTTTTCGCCACTAAGAAACATTGGTAATTTCTTTCCAACATTATTTTCTCATGCCTTACCAGTATATTCAAGAATTATTATTTCACTACATAATTTTTTTATTTCAATTTCAAAGACATTCATATCAATTAGCATTTATTATATCTACGTATTTTCAAAAATGGTCTTAAAACAGTTATGTTTTGAAATATCCCACCTGAAGCATGAGTTTTCAGCATGTTATTTACTAAATTAAAAAAATATGAATACATATTTTTTGCAGAATAAAAAACAGTAGGATAATCTATATAATTCTAAGATGAAGTAGCTGTGCAGGAAATATAATCAGAAATATCTTTGTAAAAACTATTATACAATGTATCGTTAGAAAATATTTTATTCTTAGAATATATTGCAAACATCGGCAAAATAATCTACCTATATATTTTTAAATTAAATATATAGATTACATATTTTTTAGAGACTCCATAGAAACTTAAAGTACTACTGTGAGAAGTATTTGATCTTGTAAATGTACATCATCTCATTTCACCATTTTATAATTTCCAAACTGTAAAATTTTTAAATACGTCTGCATTTATTACATACAGTCTGTGAATTGTGAAGGGTCTCTGCAGACTGAAAATGATGCATATTCTGCTATGCTCGTCTTACAATTTCCGCTCATCTGAATTTGCTGGTTTGCATATGCTGTGATATTATATACAGGATGTTTGAGGATTGATTTGCAATATTTAAAAATTGAATTCAGGTCAAAATAAAAAAAAAGTCCTATAGAAGGTGAAGGAATGTCCGGAAATTCTTAGCTTTCAATATTTGGAAAACAATTGATATGATGCAATATATATTCTGTAAGTATCTTTTACGAATTAATAAATACAAAATTTCTTAAAGATATTTATCCGAGTTCCGTCATGTGCAAAGAGGGGCTACTTGGAAAGGATCCAAGCATTTCTGTAAAGGTAAAGCAGCCAGTGATAAAGAAATTCCTCCTTGCTATGAAGGGGACAATTGGGAAGGGGTACAGTTAGACGAATTTATAGACTGTGACAGTAATTTAGCTGCAAATCGCCAGACCAGAATGTTAGCAGATCTCGAATTGGTTGGTAAGTGTGTTTGTCCATTGTCAGTTAACATTCTAGATTTAGAAAAAATTAATTTGGCTTAATTTTCTTTTTTTTTTTAAAACAATGCAAAGTTTATCTTTTCAGCAGGTCACTCAACTGAAATTTAAGATATAAATTCTATTTTTTATTTAATCTATTTTAATTTTTTAGAGACCTGTTTTATTAAAAGGATATAATTATTTTATTTATCACAGGATGTTATAATAAAAACTATATGCCGGAAGCTGATCGTGACAGGATAATGTTGGTTAGTGCGAAGAAAAACCTCCAATCAATGGCCTTTTTTGGTTTAACTGAACACCAGAAGATTTCGCAATATATATTTGAAGAGACATTTAATCTTAGATTCGCCATTCCTTTTGAACAAAATAATGCCACTGTATCGAGCTCCACATTGCCTACTTTAACGACAAAACAAGCAGCAAAAATATCTCAGCTAAATAAGCTAGATATTGAATTATATAATTTTGCGAAAAAACTACTTTTTGACAGATTTGAAAAGTTGAAAGCCAGAGATTTAGATTTCGAGGAGAGATTTAAACATTTAGGGGAGTTGACAATTAAGAACGGTCCTACTGAGTTTGATTGGGAAAAATTAGAAGATCCTACAGAGTCTTCGAATTGAACCGATTTATTTTTTAATTGAGGATATAAAGTGCCATATTTTGTACTGTGTTATTTTAAAACTGTGTGGTGGAATTTTACTATTAATTTTCACTAATATCACATTTTAATATTACCTACTTGCTCCCGATTAGTCGGGAATAAATAGTGATAAGCAAAGAGATGGGACAGCAACGCGCTTGGTCAAGTAGACCTGTGCCCCCGGGTCTGCTTCCCTGCATGGGAACTGACAGTGATCCTTTAGGGGCTGATTTTTGTTTTCAGCACAGGATCCAAACAAACTTGAACTGAGATGAGAAGTGAAGATTTTATTTTCTTTTTAGTTGAATGACTACATATTATGACTTTAAAATAATTTTAAACCACGTTTTTAGACAGACCTTTTAAATTTCACCTCACTATTGGTTGAAGTTAAGAAACGTAATTCTCTTTGAAAAGTTTTTTTTAATGAGATACTATTAGATGTTTTTTAGTGTATTGAAAAAATCTGTAGAAGCAACAAATATAAAGTAAAGCTGTGGTATTTAACACCAAAATAGGTTCATAAGTTTAACACCCACAGGTTTAATATTGTAAGATAAAAAAATATATTAATAATTAAAATATTGCTTACCATTTCTCATTTAAAAACTGGTGTTACTTTTAAAGAATTAACTATATACAATTTTAATGCAACATTTACAATATACATTCAAAGTATTACTGATAGTTAATGCTCAAGTAACATCTTTTAAGTTTATGAAGCCATAGTGGTATCTAACTGTATGGGGTGATGTCCATTTTTTTTTTCAAATTTAAGATATTTTATTTTTAACTACAATTATCAATTGGCTAATCAGTGATGTTTGTTGTATTCTCCATGTTATTTATGACCTCCTCCCAACTTTAACAATTCCGGTTTTGACTCGTCCAACCAAACTCTTAACTCACTGTTATTGTTAAAAGCAACTCCACGTAAGGAGTTTGACAAAGAGCGGAAAAGGTGAAAATCAGGTGCGAAATCGCGAGAGTAAGATGGGTCCCAATTCAACTCCCGAATGGCCGTTTTGGTTATATTGGCAATGTGTATACATTGTCATGTTGTAAAAGAACATCATATCGCTGATCAGGTCTTTTTTTACTGAATAGCCGTGTGGAGTCAGCATAGTTGTTTTGTTTTGACAGTTTGATTGTTTGGTACAAGTTTATGATAAAGAATCCCTTTCCAATTCAACCAGACACATAACATTGTCTTCCAGGGATGAAGTTCTGGCCTTGTTCACAGAGTTGCTTGTTTCTTGGGACTTAATTCATTCTTTCCACTGGTTCAAGTTCACTTACAGACACTATTTTTCATCATAGTGACAATATGATGAATAAAATGTTCCTTCTGACGACAGATCAAAACGTGGGATCCAAGCGCCGAGTCTTTGAACTTTTTCCATCGAATGCAGGTGGGTTACTACTATTTTGTGATCATATCCCTTCTTCTAAGCCAATACCCTTGTTGATTGTCTTGGATTTTTGTGAAGCAGTCAATTAAATTGCTCTTCATGTCTTGAAATCACCTTTAAAAAGCGAAAACTATCGGCGGGCCGTTTGTTCATTCATCGAATCATCACCATATATGGCACAAATTTCTCGAGCAGCTTGAATGGCTTTAGCGTTTTCCCTGTTCCGATTAAAAACAAAAAGCAAGTGCCGAAAATGATAAATTTCATCAACTTGACATTCCATTTAAAATGAATGAAAATTTACAAAAATTAAATCAAACGAAGCAATCAAATACACAATGTGATGGAGCAATAAATCCTCTTACGAATGACGTGTCACTTTGACAGTGCGTTTAATTTTCGTGTGAATTTTTAAATATGATAAAAAAATGGACATTACTTATTCCTCATCCCAATACATTCATTTTAAGTAAAAATATTCAATTGGAATATTTCGAATAAATATTTACAGCACACCGTTTGTGTGTGTGTGTGTGTTCCGTTATTTTGAAGTGTTTAACTATCCACGAACTCTAAAGACTAGAGGTTATTATATCACCATTTAAGGCACTTCATTAATAATTTTAAACATCTTGTTAAATTTACCAATTAATGCTTTAAAGGTTCAGTAGCAGTTTGTCAATTTTCGAGGTGATGATCTAAAAAATTTATATCTAAAACCCTTTCCTGTAGAGTCCGTAAACTGATGACGATATAAATCCCAGTGAAGAAATGTACACAAGATATTCATACAATTTCACCACACAGCTCTAAAAGTATCTATGATTATGAAGTTCGGTGTGCCTCAAAATCGACCATTTTCCAGTATCTCATCATTATACCAACATTAAATCAGAATCACTGTTGAAATAATTTGAATCTACAGTAAGATCGTATTCGATGCAAAGTAGAGCAAAAAATTGTCGGTCTTTTAGCAAAGGAAAATCGTGTCATCATTTTTAGGAGGCGTAAGATAAACCGTTTCAAATTTAAAATGAAATTGAATGTAAAATCTGAAATACCGCCGCATACACACTGTGTTCTGGTACTAGCTGTAGTCGGCCAGGTGCATCGAGTGTACGAAGTGGTCGGTTATACGTCAAATACTAACCTGGCGAGCTTGATCGTAGAGCAGGGAACAATAAACAGTGTCGCGTACAGAGGTGAAATGTAGTACATATGTGGAATTTAAATAACGAATTGGATTTATAATAAATTACATTTAAAACAAATAGTTTATGAGAAAGGGATTTTTGTAGGAACAGGGTTCCAGACGTGAACTGATCTCTTCATCGCACCCCATTACGATTCTTTTTTTTATAAGGAGAACGAAGTTTCAAAGCAAAAACCTTGTATAACAGATATACTATAAATATTTACAGAATGAAAACAAAATATAAATCCTATGATATGATTCTATCAAATGAAAACATTAACAACAATTCTCTACCAATCTCAACAAAATAAGTTATTTTTCTACCAAACAAGAAATGTTAACAAATTATAAGCAAAATATAAATTCTATGATTTATGTACTGTACACCAAACTGCATTTTTCTCATCTTCATTTAATATTAATTTCTTCTTTCCACCCCCTTTTTTAGGTTTCTTAACGTCTCCTTCAATTTTCTTCTCTTAAAATTTTGAAAACAGATAATTCGCTTACTCCAGTATATCTAGAACACATTTCCACCAAACCAGTCTTCAGTTTCATGGGATGATCCTTTTCTAAAGGGTTATAGACATTTAATATTATCGTTTTTTATCTGTAACTTAATATAGAATTTTTTGTACCCACAGCAGTACATCCGGCTCGCGAACATCCAGGCACCGCCTCCATTTCTCCATATAACGACAACAGAGCAATAATAATACAAAAAACTTCACTTACTAGCACATAAAATATAATAGCATTCACGATTCACAAACAACAGCCCGAAACACACACAGCACACAAATAAAACACTAAAAACACTTTTGTTACGGAGCACAAGAAATATGATTTCACTCACAAATTCTCAAATAATAGCGCGAAACACACATATAGCCCGAAAGAAATATAATTGCACTTATAACAGTTATAACCTCACAAATATCGCGAGCGAGAAACACGCAGCACCAATACAACCGAAACGAAACTGACCACGCCAGGCCGGCACGCGCTCCGCCGCAAAAAACAAGACATGTCATATGAGGGAGAATGAAGGGAATATTAAATGTATTGTTGTGCTGCCGCCCAATGTGCGAAGGAGAAGCCTTTGTTTTTCATTTTGTCCTTCATAAATATATAACTGTTAATCCATAATGCATAAAGAAATTATTCAATTTCCAAAACCCCCTATAAAATGTGTTGCACTGATTCCCTTGGCAGGCAGTGATTTATTACTTTGCATCGAATACGATCGTACTATAATCTAATCTGAAAATACAGACCTAATAATTAAGGGCAATGATTTCTAATAAGATATTTTGAATAGATTCTATATGGACTATGAAGCATCAACGAAAAATAACTAAAAGCACCTAAAAATTTGAATAGTTGATCAGGACAGTTTTGTGTTCTTGATTGACCTTTAGGAATATTAAATACGAATTGAGTTATATAGCTGCCAATATACTAAATATGTATAGCATTACATGTAAAAATGCAAAGTTTGTACTTTTTCATTGCCGCAAAACTCGTAATAAATATTTTAAAATAGTAGGAGTTATATTGCCGTGACCTTATGCTAATAGTAAGTTTTCCAATGGTTTTATTGAATTTTTTAATTGGTCTATAACTCTATAGGGTAAAATTGTGGGGTGGTATATTATTTATATTTAACATGTAGAATCATCTATTATTAATCTGAGGTCAAATTCTTTTGTTGTATTTACCTGCATCAGGTTTAAAAATGAAATTTGTCCAAAGATTTGACCAAGTTGCAGTTAAGTGCTAATTAATGTTTTTATTAGTTAAATTAGGGACAAGTTTTTAATAAGTTTTAGGCCATTAGAATGTCAAATGGGAAGTCATGGCAGCGCAGGCGATCATAATGCATGTAATTAAATTTAAATTTAATACATACATTCTGATTGGTTGCCATGGTAAATTTGATTCAGATTTTGAAGTTATTTTGAGCAGTTAAATTTCTGTTTTATTAAATATTTTGCTAATAATGATTCCAGTATGTATAGTATATCAGCAAAACCATGGAGTAATCATTTTTGCTTTTGATATATTTCCTTATTTATATTTGTAACTGCATTCTATCCTTAGTAAATGTTTCTGTGTTAGTTTCTTGGTTTGAATTATCAAAAAACTATTAACGTGTAGTTGTGATACATTTACTGAATCAAATTCAGGTGACTTGTGTTACAGAAATATTGCAATAATTTCTTCATTTGTTGCTTCTTCCCAAAGATCATAACTGTGTTTGACTTTTGTGTACTTATGTATATTTTAAAATGTAAATTTTAATATAATTACAACAGATGGTTGAAAATTTTTATCATCAGGGGTATTAACGAAATTTATTTAAAACGATGTGATACAAGGAACAAATGTACTTTCCTATTCCTTCTAGATTAAAAAGTTATATATTTTAAATGGTTGTTATTAATTTTTAACAATATTTTTTCAATATATGTGTATTTATTGTATTGTACACTTTTTGTGGTTTCTTTAAATTATATAAACAAATTATATACTCATAATAGGTGATATAAAATGTATTGCTTTTAAATCACTGCCTTATTTTCTAATTTTTAATGTAGCTTGAACAACAAAAATGTAATCTACAATTGAATTTTCAGAAATAGTTCATATTTTATTTTCAGTTATTAAACTGTTACTCATTACTTTAAAATAAATTTGCTATAATTTTTGTGATTTAACAAATATCGCTTACCATTGTAGATTACATATTGTTATAAATAAAGTGGGTAATGAAACCAATTTTGTTAGATTTAGTTTTTTTTAGTTTTAATTGTATGTTTTAATTAATACCAAAGACTTAAGCAGCTATTAATATACACTTTACTTATATGTGCAATTTAAAAAAAAATTACATTGGAACAGGGTTGTCAATACTTAATTTGATACTGTTAAAATTAACAAATATTTAAAAGACAATCTTATTAGCTTTTCTTTACCAAATAAAATAGCAAAATATTTCTTTTTAAGTAACAGACTGATTTAAGTTAATATTTAGAATGTTAATTAGTTTTGTGCTATATCTTTATCCATGTTTAATATGCATTTCTATCATACATTTATAGTGTTTTCCAGATTCAATAATTTTATGTGGATAAAGGCTAGACTATACAAAAGATAATAATTGTAAATCATTAGTCATGTAATATACAGCATGTAAGAAATATATATAGTTTTTACAAACTTCTCATTTATTTTTATTACTTGTAATACACAAAAAATAAATTTTCTTCTAACAACATTTATTATGAGAACGATATGTTAACATAATTTAGAAATAGAGTAAAATACAATTAAAAAATATGTCTTTCTAAGAATATATCTTTTATCATGATGGCTAGCCACATAGAGGTACATGTTTTTGAAGCAAGATTGCATAAATTACTATTTATATTAGAATGCACTGAATAGTACCTAGCTAATATAAAAAGTAGCCTAGTACGAGGCATATCCATAAAGTAAGAGTAAGGTGTTTGGAGTGATCACTCGAGATACGAGATATTGGTCATTCTCATCCCATCGGCGCATACATATGTTTGCATTAGTCATTTATTATTTGAGCTAAAAAATATAAAGCTCACCCACTTCAAAACCTAAACACTTTCACAGGGTAATAATCACTCGAGTGGTGGGAGTGAACATCTCGAGTGATCTCAATAATCGAGTAGTTACAACTTTTTCACTCCAGATGTCCCATCATTAGTACTGTGTACAAATGTCGTGAAAGAACTGGCAGAACAAATGTTCATGATGAACAAAGAAGTGGTCATCCCTCAAACATGACTGATCAGATGGTGAACAGGATCAAAGAAATGTTTTGTGGCGTTAGTTTGGACAAGATGAACATAGTGTTTACACAAATCTCCAGGTCTCTTCTGCATGAATATTAACGAAGAGTTTGCTTGTTGCATGAGAATACATATTCCCACACAGACAAAGCCACAAATCAACTCTTGGATTCACTTGCCTGGAACTTCATCAACCACCCTACTCACAGCCCTGACCTGGCATCTTCTGATTTTCATCTTTTTTCTTCTCTGAAGGTGTTTATGGGCAGAGAAAGGTTTTCTACCAACGATGAGATCCACAGTGCCATGAGACAATGATCACGAGAGGCGGCGGGAGTTTTTTTTTTGACGAAGGTATTAGAAAGGTCATTTCTCGGTTCACAGTCTATTACTATGTCATAAAATAGTATTTGATGAACTTTTTTAAATATGTAAACTTCATATACTGCCCATTTGATTTTAAAAAATTATGTACTCTGTGGATATGTCTCGTAAGTGAGAGACTAAAATATATTAAACCACCGACAGTTATGACCACTAAAAAGAGTCCGGAAAATGATGTCCATTTGAAATAACTTTTAAAATGATTACATTTAAAAAGAAACTAGTAGAGAATCAGGATCTTAGAAAATGTGGTTGAAAATATTTTGTGCAGCTGGAACTTTTTATTGAGCAACTGTGTTAATACATGACCTCCACGTTTTAAAATCAATCACATTTAAAGGGTTATTTACATAGTATATTATTAAATATTATTAAATATTCTTAAATTATTATACAATTGTTTACATGAATACTTTATAAGTTATTAACATTATAAGAATAATTTTACTTAAATTAATGGAAATAAATATTTGTTCAGTAATCAGTTCGTATATATAAGAAATATGAAATATTAAAGTAATGATTGTTCTAGCATAATTTTGTCAAATCCCGATGGAGGTGCGTAATTAAAATTATCTAATATGATATCCAGTATTGCTCCATCGTCCACTGAAAATAAATCCACATAAGCTTGCTTCAAACTAAATAAATAATTTAAAAAATAGGGATCTATATCCATAACTGATAAAGAAGTAAAAAAATATTATATAAAGTTGTAATGAATACTTTTATGGTATTTAAAATACGAAATAATTAACTCACCATATAATGCTGGATATACAGTTCCCTTAATATTAGAAACTGAATGGTCAATTTCAGTACCATTAACAAAAAACTTGAGCTGTATATGATCAAATGCAACTCCAATAATATCACCTTCTTGTATACATTGTATTTCACCTGCTGTACCATTGGAAATATTAATTTTATAAAGTTCCTGTTTATTGTGATGAATTATGTGATCATGGTTTAATGTCCAAGAAAATTCGTCCATACCACCTAAAATAGAATTGAATTTGATTGGTAAAAGGAATAAATAAATAAGAAAATATACTTTAAATCAAAAATCAATCTTGAAAATAAAAAAATGTGAAGGGCGTGGGTGAAATATTGCATTATTTCATCTTCACACTATGATTCAGAAAGTAGGATTTATTTATAAATTACAATATGTTACCTTGAGTTAGACTCAAATCTGTTTGTCTAGTAGCTAGTCCTACAGACCACGATCCACTCTGTTGTACTTTAACTTCAAAATATGATTTTGACTGTACAAGAGGTGCATTACCTAAAGCAGCGCCAGCCCCACAAACTCTCTGTCCTCCTTTTACTATAACAACCTCGTATCCTTAAAATTAATAAATGAATAGTTGTTTAAATACAAAGAGGATTAAGTATACCCATAAAAGATGTATCTAACTGAATAGGATTTTCTCTAGGAACATGCGGGATAGCTGAATTAAATTTAAAACCGTCTAAACATCCTCTTAAACAACAAAATACTGAAACTGATGACATTTTAATTAAATAGTTTACCTAAACATAACCTATAAACAAAATTGAAAATTGACAATATACTATGGCATTGGTTTGTTAGAAGAATGAGATACGCAAGTGCGCTTAGACCTAGTAGTATCGCCAATATTATAAAGTAATAGTGATATTTATTCACGATAAGGTCTACAGAAATAATGCAGGACATTATCCCAAAACCCAACAAAGATCACACCATCCCATCCAACTACCGGCCCATTAGCCTGCTCCCGGCTATGAGCAAAGTGGTAGAAAAAATTATCCTAACCCGTCTAAGAACCCACTCCCAAGAACTGCAAGTCATTCCAGACGAGCAGTTCGCCTTCCGACCCAATCACTCCACTGAACTCCAAATCCTTCGCCTTACCGAGCACATCACGGCGGCCTTCAACAGGGGACAGTACACTGGTGCTGTCTTCCTGGACGTCGCAAAGGCCTTCGATACGGTTTGGCATGAAGGCCTACTGATGAAAATGCTCACCAACCAATATCCCATATCCTTTACCAAACTCATAAAATCCTACCTACACCACCGAAAATTCCGCATCCAAATCCAAGATTCCCTTTCCACCACCCGTCCCATGGAGGCCGGTGTCCCCCAGGGCACCGTCCTGTCCCCACAC